AAAGAGTAGGAGGACGGGGACGCAGGAGAGCAGAGATGCCAACTGAGTGGGTTTGGCAGTGCACTCAAGTCCACTCTATCTGGGATGAAAGCATACTATAGCCCTGACATCTCACAAGCTCGAACCCCTCCTCATGTACATGAGCTTGTTGGCCAGACGCTTCATTTTCATGTAAGGTAGACAATATTTATATTTCAGTATTAATTGCCTACTGTTTGAGGATCTGTCTCACATTTGTCTGACTTCCTAGTTTTTATTAGAAGGTTTGAATAAACTATGTTGCAAAAACGGCAGCAATGTTTAAATAAAAACAGGCCATCTTACAAAGGCTGGTATTCCTTAACAAACAAATTCTGTTCAGCATTAACAGTGAGCGTCCTTTTACAGTAAAGAGGGAAACATTGTGGAACATTGTGGCTAATCTAGCATGGCAACTCGTCGGTTTCATGCTCCAAGACAGAACCCAGAAAAACTGCAAATCATCCCATGTTTTAACCCCCTCCTCCTCCACCTCGTAGTTTTTTGTTTTTTTGGGGGGGGTTGCATCTTGTTTTGTCTGTACCAAAAACCTGGTGTTTATTTTGGAACAATGTCAGTCCTCATGGCCTCTCCATCACTCACAAGAAGGAAAATCAAGCCTCCTTTCCTCCAGACCTCTACTATTTGCTCCCCTTCTTTTGTCTAGCTGTTATTTTCATACGGCAATTCACCTGCTGCTGAAAGAGGGGCTTGACGAGGTGCACGCTTTTTGGATTACTCCTGATGTGCTGTGAGGATACATTAATCTCTAAAAGATTTGTCCTCAGAGACTAGGAGAGAGCTTCACTGTGGGTTTAAAGGCATGAAATTCATGTCAGGCTTAAAGTGTTGAAATTTAGGATTGGAAACTGAGAGGAAGTGATCTAAAAAGAGACATTTAAATTATATTATCAGGCTTTAACATATAAGAAACCTTGACATTTTTATTGTCTGTTCTTTGAGTGGGTAAAAATGCACTGCGGGAACTGAACAACATTATGTTTGTAATATCTATTTTGCTTTTCAAAAAGAAAAACCTGAGTAGTCTTTATTTAAACATGGATCAGATGTGACAGATGTCTTGTTTTAATTTTAATGGATTCAGCTTTTAATAAAACTTACTCTCTTTGTACTGCATACTTGTCTTTGTTGCTATGGAGACCTAATCAGCTAACCAGAGGTAGTTTGATTAATAATTATTTTTACAGTACACACACACACACACACATGCACATGAAGAAACACACACAATGCACACATCTTACCCACAAAACTCCCTACATACACTGACTCTGGTTATAGTGTCAGTCTCCCAGGGTGCCCCTGATTAGAGCAGCAATGCAACTTCCTGTGTGGCCTGCAGCTCATGGACAAGGATGATGTTTCTACAGAGCGAGGCGGGAGGCTCAGGGGATCGGGGGAGGAGGCTGATAAAGAAATGGTTTACGTGTGTGTGTGTGTGTATGTAAGCAAGCCCCTAAGGCCTGATATGGGATTGAGAGGCACAGCGCAGGCTCTGTCCTGCACCCTGTAGCCTGACACATACACACCAACATGCACACCTTCTTCTCCCCTCTCCGTGCACACACACATACGGAGGGAAACCCACTCTGATTTCCTGTTATTACGCCCCATTAAAACAGCTGTCAGTCCAAAGCCAGATGAGAGGCTGACTTAGATGAGGAAGCATCTCCAGAGTTTTACAACCAGCCTAGAGGATCTGGGCTCTCTGCGGTGTTTAGCCTGGTTTAAATTGGGCCTAAACCCAAATTACAGTTTATATTTACAGAGGTAACCACTGTACAGGCCCCAATCCTGCAGCAAAACTTCACAGATCTTTTTTTAAATTTCTTTTTCCAGAGTGACTTCCAAGAAAATCTAAGTCTGCAAATAATATTATGCAAATGAGGAATCTTGTCCAGAGATCGTAACCACATTGAGTAGAAGATGCAACAGTTAACTCACAAATATCTGTTAGTTTGAGCCACAGACTATTAAATTCTAACAGTGCTTTTTTTAAAATAAAACTAACACATGACTCATTTTACACCTTGTTCAAATTGTTGCTGTATGAACAACATACCATTAATCAGAAAATCCAAAATACATTTAAGAAAAACAACGAAATGCATGACAATACTGCCTTACACAGACAAGGAAAGTGATGAAAACAATTTGAAGTTCACGCCGTCTAACAGATAAACAATGCATAAATGAAGCTATAGATATAAATAAGTAATTCAAATGTAGTTTAACAGCGACAATTTGTATGATTTCCACTGGAGTAACAGGCTGCTAATTCAGCTTTTTTTTTTTTGTCTATTATGATTACTAGGTTGATTGATTACTCAATTACTAGGAGCATCAAAACTGATCTGGAAACTGCTTGGAAAGTGACATAAATAGTTTCATATTGTAGAACATATGTCACAGTTTGTAGCAAATACTGTACATCAGTATGTTTGAATCTAAAGCTTTTGAAGGTTTTTTTTGTATTTTCATTTATTCTTTTTATTAACTGCAGTAAAATGAGTCCATAATTTGAGCTTTAATTAAACACTGATTTCTACAACCCCTGTTTTTCTTTTCAAAATTTGTGAGGACAGCATTGCATGTAGCTCACTGCAGCACAGAGGCTGACCTATGCTCTATGAATTTAATGCAATCTGTAGTGTTTCTTTAATATAAATTAATACTTTAGAAATGTATGGTGAAACTTTACATCTTTATCCTGGCAGGTCATCTAGTAGGAATATGCTTCCATATTTAGACATGCTTTTTACAATTACAATTACTGTGTTTCACATAATTACAGTGCATACTTCCTGTGACCCAGTGACAGCTACATCTGTACCATTCATTACCATTTCTGGAGATATAATGCTGTGACATATTTAAAATCCACTCCGCATGTTTAATAATAGCTCACAGTTAAGGGAGCAGTGCTGAGGGGGTGAACGGAGAAAGAGCGTTTAGATGGAGACGGAGCAGGTAAAAGATTAGAGAAAACACAAAAATTTCCATTTTGTAAAAAAATGAGCAAAATGATTGGCAGCTGCTGAACGGGCATAAATAAACAGAGAGCTCAGTGTGTGTGTGTGTGTGTGGCTGTGTGTTTGTGTGCATGTGTGTGCCAGTGTGGGTATGTTCTTTTGAGTTGTAAAAGGCCGAATAGAAAGTGTAATCTTGCTAAGATGTGTATGTAAATTTTTAATATTCATGTTTTCATATTCAGATATGTGTCCATGTTTAGGTGTGCACATATCTGCCTTGGTGTGTCACATTCAGATTCTGACCAGGCACTTGGGGCAGTCTAATTGCTGGTCTGGAGGCCTGAGGGTCTGGGATGGAGGACAACTAATTGCTGGTGATTATAAACCTCAGAGCGTTGGCTTGGTGTCAGGTTTCGATTAGACAAACACCAAAGCTCACTCTCAGTTCCAATCACACACACACACACACACACACACACACAACTGAGGTGCACAAACGGGCATGTGTCTCCATACAATATGTACACCAGCTCCTGGCTACTGAGCGGAATTTTACTATATATGCTGTTTCTGATGTGTGAACCCCATTTAACCTCAGATACCACACATGTAGAGAGACACACACACCCAGTTTCACACAGTCCAAGCACCTTTCTGATTTATACAGGTTCACAAACTAAATACTCAAGTAGCCATAAAAGTGAAAAATAAAACATTCTATGAGCAGAGAGCTCAGTCAGCAAAGATTTATTCCACCTCTGCTGAATGCAAATGCAAGAACAGTATATATTTAATGCAACTGATGGTAAATTCAAACTTGAAATAAAGTAAATCCACCAAAGCTGTTTCACCCCCTCTCGCTCTACAACCATTAACTGTGACACACAGTTTAAACAGTCAGCCATGCAGCCAGGAAATTTCCCAAGAAGAAACCATAACAACACCAAAGTCTGCGTGCATCACTAGGTCGACTTGTTTATACACTGTATAATATCTCTGCCTTTCCAGTTTGAATGAAAATAATAATGATAGACAGACAGACAGATAGATAGATAGATAGACAGATAGATAGATAGATAGATAGATAGATAGATAGATAGATAGATAGATAGATAGATAGATAGATGCACATGTCATGGATGTACAATACAAAACAGAACGGGACGTTTCTCCATAGTTTTCGTTGCGCTTTACACTTAATGAACCAATAGGGACCAACTAATGTCAGACAACTAAACATTTCCGGTGATTTCCGTTTATTTCACGTATCCTTGTTAAAACGGCTGCCACGCGCTTTGTTTGTTTGTTTGGCTCATAAAATTGGAGAGTTTATGATTCAATAGCCAATTAAAAAGATTAAAGATTTGGAAAAATGAAAAGGCCTAGATCCACCAGTCGTCTGATCTAACACGGTCCACAGGAAATTAATCAAATCTAGTGGGATTGTGGTCAAAAATAGCGTCCTCAAGATAAGGTATAACCTCACAGAACCCCCACAGATTTCATCTTTATAGGCCCTTGTTTTGTGCGTAGTAGCTACTAGAAATGTTTTGGATAGCCATAACAAGACCGCAGCTTTCAGCTACTCAGTGCAGGTAAAGACATTTATTTTGTTACAGACTTTCAGGTTTTGAAAAGGTCTTTCACGAACACATCGGGCCACCCGCATCCATCTGAAACCAGTGTGTGTGTGTGTGTGTGTGTGTGTGTGTGTGTCTGAGAGAGAGAGGGAGAGAGAGAGACTGCTGGCAGAGTGCATGTGTTATTTTGAAAACACGGTCATAAACTTACCCTACCTGAAATAATCCATTTTACAGAAGATTTCTTTGTTCTTGATGTAGCAGCTGCTGTGCTGACGTAGCGACGTCCTGCAGACGGAGCACTCCAGACAGCGCACGTGCCAGATGAGGTTGTTCACCTGCAGAGAGACGCGGAGCGTGTCAAACACACGGGCCTGCGTGATGACAAATCACTGGTCTGAGGACCCGCAGTGGCGCTGAGACACGGACACACCGTAGTCTGCGGCTTTTCATGTGACAGGCGTGACTCCTGCAGAGAGTGGCTGTGTAGCTCAGCTGAGTGGGTCGATAGCATTTCTCTTATCTGATGTACACTGAACTAATCGTAGGCCTGTCAACTTATATGTCAAGAACGACGCTCAATGAGCTTGTAGTCATTACAGACATGTGATAATTTATCTGCGACGTTGTAATTTTAACACTGACATATTAAGGACTTTAGAGGGTCTGTAATGCATTTGGTTTTACAGAGACCATTTCATAATTACTGATATGCTTTCTCATACAACAATGTCCATTAATTAAGCTTGGATATGATTTTCCTCCATAATTTTGATATCATTCCTAATAGAATATTAGGCTGTAAAATCAGTTGAAAAAACAAACTACATGTGTTGCTTAACTTACATATTGGCTCTAATTTATATTTCCTGGCAGTTTTTTTTTACAAAACAAACTAACTAACAAAAAGCAAAATAAATAAAAAATGTCAGGCGTAGAAAGCAGGTGACACATCTGTAGTAATCACTGATGAAGTGATTGAAATCAGTTTCGAAGTTCACAAATAGCTAAATCGATTTTCAGAATATTTTAAATGAAAGTTAAAACTAGCCTAATTGTTCATGGCGAGAGATGACGAGGGTTGTCTAAACAAACTCACGTCACACTCGTGTCTCTGGCAAAATAAATGGGATTTTGTTCAAGCTTGCAGCTTATGGCAATTCCATCAAAGCATAATTTGTTGTAATCGTGTTTCAGATCAGAAGAAAATGATTTAGGGTTGTATTTTTATTTACAGCATTGGACAGTGTGAAATATTCAGTCAAGATTTGCACAGACGAAAGGTTAAACGGACCACTGAATATATTAAGATCATGTGAGTTTTATCTCTTTTTAAATTCTATTTATCGTTTACAAATGACCAACAAAATGTGTTTCAGTCAGTTGTGTAAAACGAATAGAGCCCATAAATACAGAGAATATAGTATATAAACAAAATAAAATGTTTTATTAATTTCATCTCGAAAACTAATATGTTTGTATACTTTTTAAAGCAAAAATAATTGTTATAATATTGATGCCCTAACAAAAATGCAGACTGATAATAAGCTCATCACTTCCACACTGAGAGCGAGTAAAAACGGTTTTGCTCTGGAAACGGGGAGCGCACCACAAGACGGGGCGTGTTGGCTGCGAAGCTGCAAAACAGGAAAAACTACAACATTGTTTTGTCAGCGCTCTCCTCCAAACCTCTGTGGCGTTTTATCTCTGCTTCCCAGACTTTTACGGTGGAGATAACACGGGCTAAATTTAGAGTTAAAATCTAAGGGGTTTTGCGTTTTGGTGTTGTGTCAAAGTTATAAGATAATTGTAACATTCATTGACTTTTATTGCATGGTGCATAGGTTATATTATATATCTGTAGGCATGTTTCATACAGGCTGCATTTAGTCGTTAGTAGAGCTTTAGATAGCTATGGGTGAAGAATTGATTTATTTTCCAGCCTTGTTGTGTTATTTGTGCAAAATGTTTTTTTACTCATAGTCCAGAACTAAGAACGCCTTAAGTTGACTTCACTTCATTCCTGCACATCAGCACAAAAATACAGCAGGCCAAACCAAAACAGGGCTAGGGTAAACATGGCACCCTCCTTCGCTCGCTCTTGCTCGTCTTAAAGCAATTTGTTGTCCATGTTAATGCAGAGTAAACTGATAAACAACACGCACCAAGAAGAAAATAATCTGCCTGATAAATCGGCCAGGTTCAGCCTATTTTAGTTGACGGCTACTATCAACCTCTCACCTTCAGTAAGTATCTGTCCAGGATCTCCAGACCACAGCTGGCGCACATATTCTTCCCCGTGGACGGCACCGAGCTGGTGGTGGAGGTCGGCGAGCACACGGAAGGAGTGGATGGTGTGCTCGGAGACGAGCGAGTGTCCTCCCGCTCCATGTTGGACCGCTGGGACTCTCCGTCCGAGTGAGACTGCAAAAGGGCATCAGCACAGCTCAGAATCACACAGACTAATCCTCATCCACACAGTGCCCCTGTGCAGATGTCGCCGTTTTCACGATCTATAGCCGTGCGCGCAGAATTCCCACATTTAAAATGATTTCTGCATGAAAACTTTCACGTGCAATTGATGAGTACGGGCCAAGATGCCATAGCTACTGCGCGCACTGAATGATCCAGACATTTTCAAAGCATAAATAAGCAATAAAGCTCTCACCATTGGCGTGTGTTTAGAGTCCACGCAGCGCAAGGCTCCCGGTGTACTCTGATGCTCCGTAGAGATCACCTACAAGACAACGTTCAGAAAACGGCAAGTCTTCATCACTTTTCCCGTCTCATCGTCAGCTGAGAAATCCTCCGGGGGCATTTGCAGACAGCTCTTCAAGGCTACTCCTATATAAAGTAGTCCTGACAATAAACCCCGGTTAAAACAGTTAGGCCTAAAAGGGCCCCCGCAACAAAAGGTACATTTTAATGACGCTATTTCAATTTGGATTGATTTTTCCCTGCCCTTAACCCATGCCTCTCAGAATAATAGTATTTTCTTCGCCAAATAGCTTGAAACGCCGTGGATAAGAGCGATCCGGAGTGTCAATTTCAGCTGTCAATCAGAAAAAGGCAACGGGTCACACAAAGAATTGCAAATTTGATTTTTAATGGCTGTAATTAAAACCTAATTTTTCTCAGGCGATTTGGCAACGCTCGAGAGGCTCGCGGACCGCAAATCACGCTATTCACTACAGAGAGGCGCGTGCCTCTTCAAGGCGGCTGGCGCGTGCAGCTGATCTCCGTACACAAGCCCGTGATTCGTGTGACATCACAGGGAGACAAAACAAAACTCACACACGAAGCTGCCGGCTGCAAATTAAGCGCACGTTTTGGCAACAGGAGATCGACTCAAGAAAGAAGTTGAACAATTTGGTAAATTAAAAGTGAGGTCACACTGAGCTCAGGTATGACTTCGTCATGCTACGAAACACAAAACGCCAATTTAGTCCTAAGTAAACTGTAAAGGCCCAAACAGTGTACAACTTGTTTATGTCTCCGATTTGAACCTTTACGCACGAAGTTGCAGCTTGAAGGCGGCAGTTTCCAATCTATTAGTACCTGCTTCGTGGGAATTCCTTCGGATAGAATGTTATTTCCCTCTGACAGAGGGGACAAAACTTCATTTTTCCAATACATGAACTCCCGGAGTCTCACAGCGTACAGTGTCTCCAAACTCGGTGTGTGGAATCAGTGAAAGAGTCGGCGGTGGACGTCAAAACTTGTACCATCCGTACCATGCATGGATTCGGGTGTGTAGCGCACAGTTTTGTTTTTACGCAAAAGGTTTTCTGTCTTTGAAACGCTGCCGTGCGCGATGACCTGACACAAACTACAAAAGCTATGCAGAGACGAGGAGTTGCTTGCTGCTCCTCACAGAGCCGTATTTACAATAGAAAGATTTCTTCCCTTTCCCGTTCCCCCCTCTCTCCACTTTGGGGAAGGAGTCTGACTACAGGAAGTGAATCAAACTGAGGGGTTGGCAGCTTTTTCTCCGAGGCTTCATAGGTGCCGGGGAGACTGCAGGGCTGCAAAGAAGACGAGAGCGCAACAAGCAGAGAATCGACGTGTCCCTACAGAGCTCTAGTTAGAAGTCTCTGGCCTTATAGTGAAAGAAAGGGGAGGGCGAGGGAAGTTTTATGTGCGTGAGAAGGGTGGACACATTTGAAACAGTTATGATAGAAACTCACTCAAATTGCTGGTGCGTATTTGATATCTCAGGCATCTATGGCAGCTGCCAGAGAAAGAAATTCCAATCTAAATTATAGTTATCTATAGAACTGCCATTTATTTGCTACTAGAAATACACAAGTGATGATGTAACGCACTAATTAACGTGCATGCTCGGGCACATAAATAGACCTTTTTAAAGAACCATCAGCGCTTTATGTCATGTTCTGGTTCAATAACATAGAAATAACGATATTCAAAAGACTGAGGAAACAGTCATATTATAATTTACCCAAATTCGACAGGATAAAATATAATTTCATTCTTTTCAATGGTGTAGATATGCTTCTACATTTTAATGCCAACCACCCACAAGACCTAAGGCTTCTTTTTTTTAATCAAATTGTTTTCATCAGAATAATTCAAAATATTAAAATTCTGCTTATTGTGTAGCATTAAAGTCAAACACACAACATGTATAGCACATTTACGATTTTCAGGGTAGAAAACTAAGAATAACCACCGACGATTTACACATTAAAAAAATTTACATTTCTGTTTTAAGCCGTTCTTTTATTTTGACAACTGTTTGAAACCATATAAGCCTGTCAAACAAACAAAATAATTAAGAATAAAGAGAGTAACAGCTCATTAAAATTTATGAAAACAACAGAGCAGATGATGCAGATGAACCAAAATGCTCCCAAAAACTAGAAGCCTGCAATTACAGGACATGTATAGGCTAAGCCCACACACCGACTCAGATGGATGTGTCAATCAGGCGAATCAATTATCTGTATCTGTGAATCTAATTCAGAAATGATCCTATCAAAATAAACTAGACCTAAACAATAATAATAATTAAAAAAAACTCAGTTAGCCTATTCTGGAGGCGCAATGACTGCATTTCACCGGACAGATATTCTATTGAAAACAGAGAAAAACACTGAATAGAAATCGTTCAATTGATGAAATGGATGTAAGAGCGATTCTGCAGTCGGGTGATTGGTTTGACAACAGTAAAGAGATTTGAAAAGAGTAATGTAAGAGGTAGGATTTATTTGTCCAGTGCGCACGAAACGAGGCTCTTGTTCAATTAGTCTGCCGATCGCCATCCCTGCTGCAGCCTATCTAGCCTAATATAGGAGTTAAATAGTCTTGGTAAACTCTCCAAATTAAAGGACATTTGCTTGGCAAATTCAGACCTTTTGTTTTTTACTTGGAAGAGAGTTGGGGGTGCAGGAAAGCACAAGTCAGATCACATCAAAATAATAAGACACAGATGGATACATAATAAAGGCCTACAAGATATTAAAATAATTTACAGCAACCTCTTGGGGACTGCACAAAAATAATGCTTAACATTCCAAATGTCTGGGGAAAAAACGAACTTAGTCTTAAAACATAATGGATGGTGTCATGACCAGATTATTCCATATTTTTCAGGATTTCTAAATAGTTTGATCCAGTGGATAACAGTGGATCTACTGTATTTGGATTTTCAAGACCATTAATGCTATCACATTGCAGATTTGATAGGCTATTTAACTGTCTTTAATTTGGGAAAAAATACTGTGGCAAGGGAAATCCCAAAACTCTATACATGAAACAAATGTCAATTAAAAGAGTTTGACTGCAGTCATAAAAATTGGATCAGGGGGGTGGGGTGGATTATTAGGAAAAGAGCACAGCACTTTACACAACAATACTGAGTGGCTTCAGCTCTATACCTGTTTACAAATCTCTGTATATCTTCCTCTTCACTGAAGGCTCTAAAAAAAATAATCTCATTTAAATAACATCAGTGCTGAGATGCCTTAATAATATGTCTTTCTGTCTTTACTATGCATCACATGACTCATAGTTGTATGATTAAACCAAGATAATTAAAAAAAAAAAACACATTAAGTAGTTGACCCCGATTGCTGTGATTACCCCCACCCCCAAAAAAGGTGGTAGTAGTGGTGGTGGGGGGTGGGGGATCCTGGTTCTGAACATATTTTGAACAACTTCAAAAATCTTTTATTCCCAAATAGGATGTGCCAAGTCTGTACAGTATCTACTGTAAAGTCTGTTGGGGGGGCTGACATGGGGATCTCCAGAATGAGCAGGAGGTCATCTCCTAAACTTGCGGAAGGGCCTGCTCTGGTTATTGTGGTGTGATTTAGAGTAGGGTTCCCAGCGTTTCCTCTCTGGTGGTTTGTTGTAAACATAGGCCGACGGGCCTGAGTACTCATCATCTGGATTCTCCTCCATCATCTGGAGCTTGGCCTCAATGGCACGGATTTTAGCACTCGTACTAGAGGGAGAAAAAGGAGAGACAGGAGATGTGAGGGGGAAATACCAGTGTTGGTAGTGAGGGTGAGGGACTAATGGAGTGATGGACAGTGCTCGACTCTGGCTGAAGGAGAAAAGGAGAAGAGGTATTAGCACTCCTAGTATTAGGAGAGATAAACGAAAAAAAGAGGTTACCAGTTGTGCTGTACAAAAACAGAGGGGAACCTGTATTTAAATCATGGAATAGTAGTTGAAGGAGCAGGTGAGAGAAGGTTGTAAGAAAGATTACGGTGCTGGAGAGAGGAGTAAATGAGGGAGTGTGTGAAAGTGACAGAGAGAGAACATCTAGTGGAGGCATCAGGGAAAAATGGGGAAAAAGAGTGGTTATATTTCCTCTCTTGTGCTGTGTGAAGAGAGTGATTGTGAAGTTTACACTAGAATCAAAGCTAGCAGGGTTCTTGAGAAGAACCCTGGAGTCCATATCTTGTTACTAGACTGCTTTGGCAAGAGTTGACAGCGTGAGCACAAGAGGCCTTTAACTCCAGACTGCTCCATTTGACCTGTGCAGGTGGAGTGTGTGTGTGTGTGTGTGTGTATACATGCGAATGTAGGGTTGCAAGTAAAGCTACAATAATGGAACATGTTCAAATTATTCTGTGACAAAACGTCCACCTAGACATTGTTGGAGTCAAAGCGTTGGCCTGGTTGTACTGAGCTGTGCTTTGGTGGAGAAAGCAACAAGCCCATGAGCTCTCCTGTAATAATTTCAGGACCAAGCATAAGTACAGTGGAGATAGGTGAAGGTAGCAACTGAAAAAGCTCCTAAAGCTATTGTAAACACTGAGATTTATGACCACACTAAGCTGGCTAAATCTGAAAATGCCATTTCTGTGTTAAAATTACACAGATTCACATCAGCATTGTTAGCTAATTTCTATTAAAAAATAAATAAATAGCAGCTCCCCACAGCTCCACAGTTGTAGTGGGAGGTTCTTTCATCATCTAATAAGCGCACTGGTTAAAGTGCACAGTCAGCTTCACAGCTTCTGCTTTGTGTGATGAATTCTACTGACATTTGGGGAGAAGCAGAGGCAAAAGTTGGCTTCTTCACTTTACTGCCACACAGACCTCCACTTTCTCTTAGCAGACCAGTGTTTTCAGATTTATTCACTATCTACTGGCTGGTTTCAACAGGCTTAATGTGGACAGAAGGACAATACATGGACAAGGACACAAAAAGGAAGCCAAGTGCGTTTGGTACCGACCTGAGATGATTGGTGGTTACAGATCCTTCATCTGTTGCACCGCTGCATGATGGTTCCAGGCTCTGAGGTATTGTCTTGTCATTACGCAAACCTTCAAACCTCTGTAGACAATAAAAGTGGTCCAAAAAAAAAAAAAAAAAAAAAAAACACACACACACACACATACACAAAAGGACCCACAAAACAGTAGACAAACAGAGAAACAAATGGTAAAATAACAGGTACTGTAGAAGCAAGAATGCACAAGAACAGAAGCAGCCAGTCAGTGAGATAGAGCAGAGAGAAAAGGCTGTCCTGTTCAAACCCAGTACTGTTCCTTGCATCCAGATATAATACAGACTGTGTCTAGATGCTGCTCATAACAGATTGCAGATCACACCTGGCATCAAACTGCATCTAAAATATGTTCATGCAAAAAACACACAATCATGTGCATCACTTGCTTTTCCGTACCAGGGCTTGAGTCAAAGCTATAACTATACTGTCCGGGGGAAGCTGACTGCTGTGACGCCTTTATTTAGATGCACCTAAGACACATTTTTGTACAGTTTGAACAGGACCACATACCAGTAGAGAAGGAAAAACAGGCAGAGAATAAGAAGGAATCCTGTCAGCCGGACATTTAGAAACCATCAGAACCTCCTAATAAATACTGACAGCAGCTCCGTGGAGAGCCGACTCCAGCTTCCTCCCACAAATATAAACATTATTAAACTGCAGTATTGATTTTGTTTGTGTCTGGTCAAACAGACAGTAACCAAGCAGGGCCGTGTGTCCAGCTCACAAACACAACCTAAGGGATGAGGGAGGAGAAAGTGGGAGCAGCTGACGAACAACAACCAACGTCTGCACTCATTCTTTTCAAAACATCTCCACCAGCCAACAAAGAATTCTCCAAACCTGTGGAGAAAAAAAAAAGAGAGAGACAAAAATCAAAACTGTCACATGCCGAGTATGCACAACCCCTGTGCTTGGTGCAGGAATATGATGCTTAGAAATCTAGTGGAACTGGCACGGAATCAACTTATGTGAATTTACATACACGAACAAAAGCGTGCACACACACACAGCCTTACACATTGTCCTAAGAAATAAGTTACACGTAGCTAAGAATAGGTCTAAAACAATGACCCTTTCACCAGCGAGAAACCTTTCCTCCAACCTATCCTAAAGGTATGTTTCCAGAATGCATAGTTGCACTTTAGATTTTAAACAGTTTACGTTATAAAGTCTCAGTTCGACTTCGTCATTTAAGAAATTTAATACGTGTTAAAATAGGTGGTTGCCATGTTATACGTCAGATGAGTTGGGGCCGTATAGATACAGTCACAGGAAAGTTATTAGAGATGGAGAGATTCAACACTATAGTCAGTTTCATACACAAATGGAACTAGGGCTGCAACTAACAGTGGATTTTTACTTCCAGTGAACCCGATCATTCTTTTTTCAGTTTAGCGTTTGCTTTATAAAGTGTCAGAATACAGTGAAAAATGCTGCCTGGCAAATGCTCGAGTTGACATACTCAAAGGGCTTGATTTGTCTGCTCAGCAATCCAAAAGCCAAATATCTCCAGTTTACTTCCATAGCAGCTTATAGCAGCAAACATACTGTGACTGAAGCCTTTAAAAAGGCAATGTTGCCATTTTTGCTTTAAAAAAAATCATTACTTATCAAAATAGCTGCCAATGAATGCCAACTGACTACTCAAGGCATCAACTAATTTCATCATCTCAAACTGTGACATGCATAAGAGACTAACTGGCTGAGATGTATATCGATGTGCAATACAACACAATCATGAAATTAGACAATCTTTAAACTGTTGAAGCAGCTCATGTGGAAAGCCGTGAATGGGCTCAAGATTCAAGCCTGGATACGTGACAGTGGCAGCAGGCTGTCTGATCCCAACATGCCACTTCTGGGTTGGAGTCAGAGAGGACAGGCTCACCAAAAAAAATATCACACACGCTGGACTTGACCTGCCTGGCCACACTGGTGGAAAATTGCTCAGTATAATAAAGCTCGGTGCCAGTGGCAGGTTTACAAGCTGCTCCCATCATCTCCAACGTCAACATCATTCATAAACCGCTTTTCTTCCCACACTCCTCTGCAGTGACAGCAAAACACACTGGAGTTTATATCCAATGGCAGAACAATCCTAGGCTGTGTCGGGCCATGTGATGATGATTTTGACTGATACGTTAAAAAGGGACACTAACCACAAGGGCCGGCCCACAGCGAGGAGCCTGACAGCAGGCTGGATGGAGCTGCTGCTACTGGTGATGAGAGAGAGAAAACAAAATCTTGTGGTGCAGCTTTACTCAAACCTGGCTCATGTGGTTGCAACATTATATTTAACTATGCCTTCTATCTGTCAGGGACTTTGATGGGTAACAGAGTGAAGCTGGAACAGTCTGGTGTGCAACTCCTTTGAGAACTTTCAAAGATGAAGGCACAGAACCAGAAACGGTTTTCCAGAGCAACAATCCAGTCCATGCTGACAGCACTGTCTACTGACCAGCTGGCTGTCGGCAGGCAGAGCGCAGGAGGTAAAGGTGTTGGTTTGTGGTGCAGGCTGAACCCAAACTCTAACGGTCTCTTTCACACCCTAAGTGAGCCAGTTGTGCAATGCAAAACTGAAAACTCACTCCAGCAAGACAGACATCAATCCTCCCACTCACTCGCTTCTCCAGTCAGCAACTCAACGAGCACATAAGAGCAGCAAATCGCCTTCTCCGAGCTGGATGTTGATGACCTACTATATACTGAAATTTTAACACTACCTCCAGTGTGTCACACACTTGCAGAAAGAAAGAAAGACAGACAGACAGACAGACAGACAGAAAGCACTTTCTTTCATCAAAAATGAGTTTAATGTTAACAAATCTGAACACAGTGAACATGTTGTGGCTCAGTGAGGAAGTAGAACTCCAGGTTTTGAGCACCACACCCAACTTTGTTAGTAAAGCACTAACTGAGAAAACACCGTTCACAATAGAAATAAAATGATGCCATTGGCAAGTGTGAGGCAACAGTCACCTGATGACACAACAGGCTGGTATCCACAGGACATCTGTCTTACAGCTATAATTCTAGGTTTATAATGGCATAACTAACCATGGCTGCTATTTTGGATTGGAATGATGGACTCAGTCACAGTGAGCAGCTTTATCCAACAAAGTGTTGTCTTGCAGGCAGCAGCGTTGACCTTGACCTTGCTCTACTACGTGTTTGTGTGTCTGTGTGTGTAGGGTGTGATTCGTCCCTATACAGGATATCCCTTCACCCACTGCCAGTAGGTTGTCTATTGTTAAGAAACAGGCATAGGTTGTGCTGGGACCTCACTGCTGTCCATACACTGACTACTGCAGTAGCAATGAGAAAATGAAAACCGACAGATGCTTATAACGAGTAGCACAAGTGCTAGCACACTTAAAAGTGCACCTCATCTTAAGAATTATTAAATATTTATCCCGTTTTTGGCTTTGTTTCTATCTGTGGTTGCAGAAGACAGTTTACGTTTTTAATCTCTGAAAGCCAGTGACATCATTTTAAATGCATAGATGTACACCACCGACATATATAAGATGGACGAGGTGCCGCCACTTCCCTCCACTATGCAAAAATAAAGCCAAAATATCATGGATGCAGCAGCTGCCATCTTGCTTTGTTGCAACCAGATTCTGGTGCCTTAATCCACTGAGCTATCAAGGTCCATAGGATTTTAAGTTTCATTAAATGGAACTGAAGTTTGATACTTACCCTTACCTGTGCATGCGCCCAGCGCACAACCAGCTTCTTGGACAAAGCTAGCTTCCCATTTAAACACTGGATTGCCCTCTCTGCCTCCTGCAGACATTCACAGGGAGAAACAGAGGTAGACTAAAGTGGAAAAAGAAAGAGGAACAGATTTTTTTTTTTTTACAAGTATGATTAAAAATCAGATGATTGATGATTGCCCTCGAGTCATTAAATCATTAGTCCTCACAATAGAAACAATAATAAATGATGATGATGATGCGCCACTCTGAATGCAGCTATACCACAACTGACACGTGTGATTGTGTCTCTGTTGTGTGTCTGAAATAAAGTGTGAGAAAATGTAGTTTTGTTTAATCAAATAAGTGGATCTGTTGCTAAATTATATTAATGAAGTACTTTGCCTGTGCGGGTGTGTGTAAGGTAAACACACACTTCCTCTGTAAAATCATTTTGGGAGGGTTTCATATCCCACTGATAGACACTAGCTGTGAAACTAGATTCTTATCATGCACCACAGGTTCTCTCCAAAACAAATACTGGCTGCTGAACGGGCTTCTTTTAAGGTTTTTTTTAGAAATACAGAGCACTTCAGTACAATCAGGTCCTAAATGCTTGAAGAGGTTTCAAAGTTTGTTGTGCTATTTGAGTTCAGGAGGCATTCATCCACTCTAGAAAAGGACTTCTATTTAAGATTGGATCTGCACATTTTTATCCCACGTGACATTTTCCTTTATGCTTTGCACATATACAGTTTTAAAGTAGAAATGAGCTCACACCGTTCATCAGTGCAGACAGTCAAATGTTAAAATGGCTGCCAATGACTGACAGACTGAGGAAATTTATTAATTTGCACTTCAGTTTTTGTGAATTTTGTTTGTTTACCAGATTATTACTTAAAATGATCAAATGAATGACAATTTTATGCATAAGAGTTTGTACTATCACCATTTACAAAAATATAATACTGTGACCAGCATGAATGTAAACTAATATGAATTAAAATGCAAAATAAACAATCTAAAATATCAACTTGCATGTACCTCTCTGGTGCTGAAGTTGACAAAGCAGTAGCCCCGTGGCTGTCCCTCTAAAGGCCCAGACTTATGGAACAGGAAGTCAAACTGTTTCACTGTGCCAAATTTCTCTAACAACTTCACTAGGTGGTACCTGCCGAGAGAAGAATAATGTGACAAAAGAGTGCAAGAAAAGGAGAAAAATGGAAAATAGAAGGGAGTTGAATTATTAGAACAATGTAAGTAAACATTTTAGGTATTTACTGTAAATATAAAACTCAACACATTGTTATAAAAATACCCACACCAGAGTAAATGTGTCTTATATTTCAGTTATGAGCAACAAGGTTCACAGCTATACAGTACCGTAGGTCTACGTTGTGAAGCAGCCACATGGATCTGTTCCACGCTGTATTAGCTACTCTACAGTCTGTGAATCTGTTAAGTGAGGCTAATGAGAATGACAGCTTTCTCTTCCTAACACCTTTTTAGCAACAGGCCAGCTGGTGTGGTAGGCCAGTGATAGTAAATCTCTTATTAAGACAATGCTGAGGATACAGTAGCAGGACAATGAGGGAATAAAACAGAGGAAGCCTCAAATCCCCTCTGAGTGCCGAGCTCTGCACAAACATCCACTGACTGTGTGGGCCTGCCTGGCACTGCTGGATGTATGAATGGACATGTGTGATCAGCGGAGAGCTATGCAGTGTTTGTGAGTTTGTAGAGTAGGTGCGTGCGTAAATCACCACTTTCTTTTTGTGACTGTGGAAAAAAACCAAAGTTCAGGGTCACCTGCATGCAGTATTACTGCACATAACCAGATGAATGTTTCCAGCACGTGCTGAGCAGCAGATGTGTTTTTCATTTCATTACCTGTCAAAGTTCTTGTGCCTGAAATTATTTATATGTGCTTATCACAATCATATTCTTGTTTTTGTGCATGAGCATCTTCCTGGTTGATTCATTTCAAATAAAACATGTTCTTCAATAAAAGGCAATGAGACCAGGCCATGGCAGTCCTCACTGTAAAAGAATGGTGTGCATTTACTGTATCTAATGAACATTTTTTCTTTTACATATTTTGTGATCAACCTTTTTGGTTACATTACATTTGACACATTGTCTGATAAATCAAGTGAAAATGGGAAAGGACGTGATGTCTCTCTGCTATCCTACCCCTCTTCCATGACACTGCTGCCTACAGCACTTCTTTTGTTATTCCAGCTTCTCTACACCATGTTTTCAAACTATGGTCCATAAATTAGCCTCACTTGCCACCTAGAAAAGGTTATAAGAAACATTTTTCGAACCACGAGTTGTTGCCTCAAACAGCCAGACACGAAGGACCTCTTGGGTACAGCTACAAGTATGAAACAAAGTGTTAAAAGCCAGCCAGAGAAATCATGTTCGTTCCACATGTGGCCGCTAAGGAGCAGCTTAGAGTTCCAATTTGGAGTCCCACTAAACTCCAGCAGTTGAAAATAAATTAGGTGAAGTATCTTTAACATTGAATCTGTTGTATTCAAAAGGCCTTCTGTGAAAAAAAGGCACTTAACCCCCCCCCCCAAAAAGCTAAACCAAATCAAAAAATGCACAAAAATAAATAACAATAAATCAGACACCTTCCTGTGTTTCTGTTTGGGTACTGTTACCTCGTGTGACTGTCCAGGCCCCAGAATGAACCAAGGTGATTTGTATAAGTGTCCAAGAGGAACCAGTGTTTGAGGCTTTTATTGTTTACTTGCCTGTTATTTTTAATCCTGAAGTGGTTTGTGTGTGTGAGACCCCAAAGACTGTGTGGCGCGAACGTGCGAGAGTGCATTTATGTGTGTGAATAGGGCTCCATGTGTGATATAGAGGGTGAAGAGTGGGTTTAAGCTACAGGCTAATGTCTTCCACCCCTCTATGACTCCCCGGAGAGCAGAAGGACAAGGACAACTTCTGCTTTTCCCAGACAACACCCTACAAGCCTCTGATGTGAAAGTGACTCTTCCTGCACTAGGCTCATTCTAACATGCAAGCCTCTATTGAAATTAAGTGCATCACATTAGTTATTAATACTTCTTGGCACACTTATACTCAAACTTGCCTTTGTGATTCCTGCATCTTGGAATCTCCAAAACACAGATCAGGACATGAGAAAGACACTTTAGCCAAATATAACCATGCTGTAATTGATAATTAAATATAGCCTTTTTATTCTGATATAGATTCAAATAAATGCATACTGTATGCTTCTGCGTGTATATAAATGTGAACAAGATTAGATGACAGAAACTCCAAGAACATTTTTGGATGCTGGCGAGGTGAACCACAATGGGCCGCTCCTCCTGGGGGTTGTAAAAACCACCGGAGGAAGGGGAGGAGAGGGGGACAGGAAAGGGAGGGGAAGGCGGGGAATAGGGAAAGGAAAGTTCAGAGAGTGGATGTTGATGGCAAGGTGAAAGGTGAAGGAAGAGGAGGAGAAGCCCAAAGAAGACAGGAGGTGAGAAGCCAGGTAGGAGAGATACAAGCACTAGGGAACAGAGAAGAGAAAGGAAGGAAAGGGGGGGTTGTGAGTCGAGGCCAGAAAAAGACAGACAAAAGATTTGGTCCAGAAAAATGCAGGTCAGAAGAGGAGGAGGAGGAGGAAGGGGGGATTTCTGACAATGAAGCTAACTAACTGCAAGTTAGTTAGAGTCCGAGTAAAATGATGGTTCCAAGTACTGTCAGAAAAATCATGACAACTTCCAGATACTCAAGTTAAAATGTAATAGAGGGCCACAGAGAAAACAAAAAGCAAGAAGGTGATGGATTACCACTACAGAGAAAGCAGCCAAAAGCACAGAAACATGACTATGTGGTGAAAGCAGCAGTTACACCCACTGAATGTTTAAAAAAAAAAAAAAAAAAATCGGACTGAATACTCAACAGAGAGGAGTAAAAACCATGTAAAGGATTACTGGTCTCATGACAAGTTTATATCAGGCATCTCAGGAGCAAAAGGACTGTAGATTTCTTATAACGGAGGTGATACCTGCACAGCAAAAAGAGGAAAGTTCATTTTTCAAAATGTCATGCTTGGTATAGATTTAGCTGTGACCCCACCAGAGAACTTTTATCCCTCTTTCATTGAGGAAACTTGAGATCAGGCATAACACAGGCCAACATGTATTTGTCTGCCAAGAGGACAAATTACAAAAACTAAAAGTGTCAGCTTTCTTACATCATCACATCCAAAATTAATCTATACTTCATGCTGACCAACCAGAGCAGATCTGGGTGCCTCCAGAACACTCGGATCAACAAAATGTGGACAAAAACTCCATTATAAAACACTTTCACTTAATACCGTTATGTTTTCAAATCACTAATCGTGTTTCCAAATGACTGAAAGTATGTAGCAAAGAGCCATCACTGAAATAAAATATGACAGTAAATTCCACCAAAAAATCCACCAGTCAAATTCTATTTAATGGTTTAGTCCAAACTTGTAGCACAAAATTGTAAGTTTTTAAATTAGCTTCATTTTGGCTTTGTATACTCATATTCAGCACCTTGCATTTCAGGTGTACACTCCTCCTTTGCACTGAGTTTGGCTTACTGGGACAAACAGAGGGAGTACTGCATGTGCTATCCTGGAGCTAATTAATCTTCCCAATCAACAACAGGGACCATGGGCATTTCTGTTGTTTTCCCTCCATATGTTGTAGTAGTGGGCTATTTAAGGAGAAGCAGAACAGGGGAAGGAGAAGGAAACGCCTGTCTAGACACCCACCAGAGCTGTAGTACATACAATCTCCAGCAGCCCTCGCAGGCACAGAAACACGCCCCTCACCCTGAAAGTCCACCACCTCTCCATCGCACATGAACACTTAGGGATTTGCACATTCAGAAACTGCACATACATCCCTGCTTGCAAAAGCAACAACTGAAAAATGTCTGCATATATGATGTTGTGTAAAGTGAAACACCTCAGTGTATTGAAACTTGCACCTCTACCCGCTACCGTCCAAATATCAACCGTGTACTTAAAGGTGGTTGCACACACACCCCACACTCTTAGACACACAATCAGCTCCAGGTTGACATAGAGAGAGTAAACAGATCAGGTGAGTGAGGAATGAAGGCTGCTCCTTAGCACAGCATATCTCCACGCCTCGCTGCCTCTCATTCACACACCCAGCCGTGTCTGCTCAGTCTCAGCCTGCGACACACACACACTACACTAAACACAACGTTCATCAATCATATATGCACACACAATGCATTTTCTGCTCTATGAGGCAGAGCCAGTGATGTTAGAAAGCACTGCTTCAGGTTCACAACATGGACCCCAAATTGAACATTTACTGCCACTAAAATCAAACACTATGTTGTTCATTCAGCTGCCTGTCTGATTCACTGTGTGAAGATCTGTAGCTTTGTAGTGAAATATAAATTAATTTCAATAACTCTTAATGTATTAAAATGTGGGGACTAGATTGTAGGGCACAGCAATTACACTGTCTCACCAGTTGTTTCAGCTTGAATCTGAACTCTCACCTCTACTTACTCTGTGATTTTGGGATCTATGTTTCCTATCCACAAACGGTTTCCATCGTGGGCCACGCTCTCTGAAATGATGGAGGCATTTTCCACAGTCTCTGCTGCAGATGACATGTGTACTCTGTAGAATACAGAAGGAGAAAGCTGATAAATAGAAAACAGGTAGATATAAGTTTAAATCTTTGCATATGTGTGAGTCTGGGAACCAAGCTGACTGTTCTAAGCATGATGGGAGTAACATTATGAACAATGCAATAAGCAAATTCCAGCACAACTCTTAGATGTTAAATTGAAGACTCAAATATTGCTTTACAGGGAACCTATATAACATCTAAGAACTGTGGCTTTCATGACAGAACAGAAGGTGTCTAGAAAAAGAAGAGAACTGAGATTTGATTCGCTGTATGTTCACATATAGATATTCAACTCTGAAGACTGTCTAGGGACTCTTACCAAGTCTTTACTAAAGGGAGATCCTGGATAGGTCAAACAGTTAATCCTACACACTCAGATTTTGTTAATAACACGTAAACTCCTGGATAGGTCAAACAGTTAATTCTACATACTCAGATTTTGTTAATAACACGTAAACAGCGCTAACATCAGTTGTAGGACAAAAGAATGGAGCCTGAAAGGGAAAGGGACAAGGCAATTTCTAATGTTAATTTGATCGAGGGATCTCAGTAAATCATAATCAATTCTCAGTTCATGTACACAGACATTTTCTCATTTTTACATATTTACAATGTGCACCTTGTTAGAAGTTTAACTGACTTACTATATCATAGTATAAATGCAAAACTGTGGCATTTACGGTAAATATTTTTATGCATATACATAACGTTACATGTAAAAACCAATGTTGGAATGGTGGTCAAAAACACAGTGTCACTATATATTTTCTTTAGTCTTCATTTACAGTTTAGGTATCTAAGTTCTCTAGTAACTATTTTGAACAGAATCAAAATTATGTATGAGGAGTTTTAATTTTTAATCCTAGCTTCTGTAAAACCTCAAAGAGAAGAACTCTTAAGTTCTAACTTGGGAAATTTATTGTAGCTAACGTTTGCTTAGCGTTAGCTAACAGCAGTCTTGTCGACTAACCTCTACTCACATTTAGTTAGCGTTAGCTAATTAGAAACGATCTGATTATGTGATAAACGTATCTCAGTCATCCAGGGAAGAAGATATTCGATTAACTAGCTAATTCTATCCACTAAACAGTTAACAGTACGTTTAGACAAGCATTGGTTTGATAGCAGTTAGCTAACTAGCTTAAATGATCTCATCTTACCCCCTCGTTCTGCCGAATTCCCACTTTGATAGCGACTGCCTTATTCGCCTCAACTTGCTACTGATCCCACTTTCGGGATGGTTCGGGTACGTCAAAACGTAATACTAATCATGGCAATCAATTTTTATATCTTTTCTATAAAACTGCCTAGGTCAGCTTGCTCGTTAAATAAACAGTCACCAGTTACTGTCTGACAACAAAGGCGCAGGATGATGTTGTGGTTTGTTTAACTGTCTGCGGAGTCCTGGGGAGGCACTCGGTTTTATTTTTGGCCTCTCCCACCTCCAAATTTCCAGCATTAGGCTATGGATGCGTTACGGAGGAACCCCGCTCATTTGGTATAACCCGTACAGAGTTTCAAACATCTCCTCGGAAGTCGCCAAAAGTCGGCGCGTAATGATGACGACAGAGAGGTCAGCTGTGGTTTTTCCACCTTTTAGCTAACGTGCTTCTCTAAAGGCTTGGAACTTGAAAGTAAGGTAGTTTTTTTCCCCAATTATTTACAAATGAGAGATACGGATAGTCGGATATTACCTTAAATTAACGGTAGTACAGTGTTTAGTTGCTGCGTGGTCTGTTTTTGCCAAGGGTATGTGTACAAGCAGGAGAAGAATGTTGAGTGCACTCCACAACACACCGGGCCGAACCTTACACCACATTTCTTAAGTTCCATCAAATGTTGAGACCAGTGAATTATATAAAATATCTATGCATTTTCATAATAATACACTATCTGCCTCAGCAGCCATTCATTATCTTAATTTACTCAAGTATCAGTTAAAATAATATAGCACAAATGGGCATCACTCAGTCAAGCCACATAAGCACACATGTAGTGTCGTGTTGCCTAATTAGTGCAGTATGTTTATAGTGTAACTTAAGTAGCTAATTGTCAGATCAAATTAATCACCAGCAGTAATGGTAGTTAACAAAATAGTCATTTAACAAGCAAAACTGTCAAGCATTTACTGATTCAAGTGTCTAAAATGGGAGGGCAATGGAGGGCAATTAGCTTTTTTTCTGTTTCATGTTTTGTAGTATTGACATCTTTAGCTTTCAGAATCTTTTAATTTGGAATAATTTTTCATCATTTTGAGGTAAAAAATAAATTTAAAAAATCCTCAATCAACCTCAAAGAGACCTCAATCTGTAAAAAAACAAACATATACACACACATATATGTATATAGATATGTATATACACACGCACACACACACACACACACAGAGCATGTTTGAGGAGGCGGAACACCGTCAGATACTTTGCTGTGTTATTTTCTACTCAAACTGAAAAGTGTACAGAGGAGAAGTGATGCGGGCTCACCAGCTGGCTTCTAAAGCTGGAAGAAGCGGAGAAGTCTGCAGCAGCTGCTGCTGTGTGTAAAAGCTACAGGATATGAGGCTACAGTATCCCACTGAACACCTGTGCTTCACTTTTTTCTGCTTGACTTCCCCTCTAAAGAAATCTGTCACGTCCCACATCTGAGCAAATTTACTCAGCCACAGTGCGTCCTATCGTGTCAGCATGTCAGGAAACCTGCCAGCCATGGATGCTTGTTATGGGTTCATATTGTCGATGGTGGTCCTCAGTCTAGCCTAAATAATGCCATTGGGATATTTTTGGATTTTGGTTAATATCTGGAGTTATCAGGGACTAGTGCACTGTGTGTTATTTAAAATTGTGTCTCATGTATTATTTGAGTCAAAACATCAGAGGGTGTCTGTTCCTGGCAGAAAAATATCCAGTAAATAGATTTAAATGCTAATAAAATAAAAGTAGTTGGTATTTTCCAAGTAGAATGTGTCACAGATAAATATGATGTATTTGTGAAAGCTCCTCTCATTTGTGATCAGACAGTTTTTACTGCAGCAGTATGGTACGTTTCACTTCACAGCTAAGTTATAAATGCACACCAAACAATAGAAGGTGTCAGTCAGGCTGCCGTACGCCGTGAGCTGTTCACAGCCACTGACTGTGAAAGATGGACTTTACTATGTCTTTGTGTCTGTGGGCTTAGATATGTCAGGGTTTGTCTGTGCTTGTGTGTACGCTGAGGTTCAGTGACACAGCTCACAATTGAGAGCCACATTTTGAAGTGGGAGGTGGTTTGTCCATACAAGAGATGTGGCTGGTTT